AAAAAGAAAAGGAAACTAGGGGAGAGTCGAAGCGAAGCGAAGCAAATTGAAACTCTTAAAATAAATAAATAAAAGGAAGAGAGAGAAAAAAAATGCCGTTAAGCATAATGTCACTGATGATCGTCACTCGTCGTCGGTATCGTTCGGCGAAAGTTTGGCCAACGAGTCCTAGTCCCAAAGAGCTGCGTCCATTAGCTGTTGCACCTTGTACCACGGGAAGTTTAACCGATCGTTTGCATTTCCTTTGTCATCGTGCTCGATTTCTCGTTGGAAGTCTCGATCTTCTGTAAGGAATCGATCAATTGGAATTTGACGAATAACAAGTCGATGTAACAACTTAATTATCGCGGATCACGATAACGCTTCGAACCGTAAACGTCTTCCGTCTGACATTTTCAGTTTACAGTTACAGTTAATTCTACATAATTACCTGAAAGACTGCGGGTATATCGCAGAGGTCGCCCCCTGCGATTTCCTTGCACGCACATCATTCCGTAAACGCGAATCCCTGGCACACTGGCGTACGTCGGCTGATCGTGACTCATAGGGCCCTCTACGAAATACACGAATGTAACAGCACTTGTCACTTTCGTTCGTTCGTATTAATAATACATGTTACAACGCGTACAATTTACATCAGAACAGACATTCCAGTCTCGCGAAATATCATTTTCACATCCCTGAGAATATTATTCTATTATTAGAGAAAAAAATTTCCAACAAACAAAAATGATAAATCGAAAAATCATTTGGCTCCCTGAGAATATTTCTATTATTAGAGAAAAAAATTTCCAACAAAAATGATAAATCGGTCACTTTGACTGGTTTGGTAGTTGTTTCCAGTGTTAAAACTTTGAATTCGAACAATGATTGTTCACTCTCCATCCGACGAATGTACGATATCGTGTTCTATACTTTTTCGTATCCGATATATATCATTTACGTACCCAATATGTTAGCATCGGGACACCGACATATCACGAGATAGTGAGATTTCCCGGTTCGCACGTTTTGTAGCGCGAGGAGAGACCAGTCTCTTGGTACTCTACATTCGCGCATTTCCGCCACCGGTTCGCACGTTTTCACCAAAGTTAGAGCCTGAAAAGCGAATAATTTTAGACAACTGGCATACCGTTTCGTGACTCGTGAATCGTGAATCGTGAATCGTCAATTCAAATCGAGCGCGCAAACAATGTCCAAAACACTATGCTACTCACCTCGTCGTTTCGTTGATTTGGGAAATTTTACAGCAGGATAGGTTTAGGTTGATGTTTGGAAAAAATGTAACAAGTTAATTCAACCAAAAAGGTTGAATAGAAGAATTTTGAAATTTATTTGAAAGTCATTCGAGACTACGTCTCGTAGTCTTTCGCCTAACAATTTCGTTCTCGAACTAATAGAAACTGGGAATTGCACGTCGATACTAATTTCATTTCCAGCGTTTACATGTACGATCCATGCTTGTGTTGAAAAGACAAGAGTAAAGAACGTGAGAGAAGGCGTTGGCTTTCGCTTCGGAGCAACGTCTATGCAATTTTAGAGTTTGTTTCATAATTCTGCAACTCTGCGTACATTTACGTATGTTTAAATAAATATCGTAACGAGCGTACTACTATCCCTTCGAGACAC